AGTGTGTGTGTAAGTGTGTGTGTGCTGTCGTTCTTGTTATCGTTGGCATTATTGTTGTTGTTAGTTGGGTGTGTGTGTGTGTGTGTGTGTGCTTTCTCCTTGTAGCTCTCGAGAGCGTGAGCAATTTTTAAATCTGTGCACCCAAAATGCCTTTAACATGGACTCACTTCAGCAGAGACTTTAGATGTTATGTATATAATTTGTATGTATTTAATTTGTGTAGTTATCTAACGATCTACTTAGGCAGCGGCAGTGTCGATTTACTCCCCAATGCTGCTGCTCATTTGCGTATTTTTAGCCTTCCTTGTAATCTTGTCATTGTATATAAATAAGCCGCTCGGCCTGCTTGACTCATATTCGCGCTTATTAATTTGCAGAACTTTGCGTTTGATGTGCTTTGAGGCAGCTTCGCATTTCCTAAACTCGGCCTTCACTCGACTGGGAGTTGGTGTGGGCAGTGAGAGAGGGAGAGGGAGATTTCCAGTTAGAGTTGAGCCTGAGCATCTCTCGTGCTTTTTGCTTTCTTAATTCATCTAAGCAAACAGTTAGTTTGTTGACTTTCAACCAGCTGGCAAATGCAAATGTCAGGCCCCGCCCCACTGGGCTGTGCAAACAATTACTGCCCAGCGAAAGAGCAAACAAGAAAAAAAGTAAGTGAAGCTGAAGAGAGAGAGAGAGTTAGAGATGGAGAGAGAAAAAATGCTAATTGCCTAATTTATTCGGCGCTGTACGGGCTCTTCGGTCTAAGTTTTTATGTCACTTTGACTGTAATTTAAAATATATTTATTTATGTATTTGACTCCACCTTCGCCGCCTCCTGGTCAATCTCTGCAGCTGCTGATGGCCATTTTTGCTTTTGCCGGGGCGCTTTTGCGCTTCGCCAATCAAAAGCATTTAGAGAGCAGCTTTAATGCATGCGCGCGCTTTCATTAACAAGCAGCCACGCCCACGCTTCTAAGCCGCATTTACACACAACACACACACACTCACAACACTCATACATACACAACACTCACCTAGTCGGTGAAGCGACAGCGAGAAAAAAAAATCGCATCAGCGGCTTATGCAAATGTGTGGAAAAAAGCGAATGTTGTGTTGAGTGAATACGAAATTATTGTTTACAACTGTAAACTTTTTTAATACCCTGCAGCACAGCGTGTGGTCCATGCGACTAGCTGAAGTCGCGTGGCTGCGGTGGGTTTCATATTCATATTTTTTATGACTTTCTACTTCAGTTTATATTTAATAAAAAATTTGCCAGGGCTTTTTCAGATTTCAGTTCTGCGTCATTCGTATAGGGTATGCACTGCGTCGACTAGACGCTGCCACTATTTCCTTCCATTTTTTTTTGCGACTGTGGCTGTGTTTAGAAAACGCTTGCAAAACCGCACTAAAAGCGACTTATAACATGTTGAGTGCCAGAGGATTAACAGCGGCCAAACCGAATGTGCATGTTGTGCCGAGCCGGGCCAAAATAGAAACTGTCCACGTTGGGCAGCTCGGCGAGCTGATTCTGGTCGCACGATTGTAAATTCCTTTTTAATGAGTGCTGGTCTGGCCGTGTGCGGGGGGCGTGCGTAAGCTGCTTAAGGTTTGGCGTAATCAAAAAATTTTTAAAAGCTTTTTGTGGTACATCAAACTGAAAGCCAAGCCTCAGCGTCCGAGCGGAGGTGCGAGGGTGCGGAGGCCGAGCCGAGGCCGAGAAAAAACTTTGTTAAGCTTGAAATTAACTTGTGGTTTGTCTGCTGCTGCTCCTGCTGCTACGGCTCCTGCTGCTGCTGCTGCTGCCAACTTTGACGCCTGCAGGTAGGCAATCAATTTTTTGTTGCTGCTGCTGCTGCTCTGCAATTGTTGTTGTTGTTGCACTTAGCAATTTGGCTCCGGCCCGTTGTATAATTAATATATGCAGGAGCAAAAGTGTAGCGTACTTTTGTGCAAGCTACTAAAAATTTTATACAACAGCTGGCGCGTCGTTTTGCGCTAATTACCTGGCTACCTGGCTACCAGCTACCTGCTAGCTGCTACCAGACGTCGTAATGCCAAATTGCAATTACAACTGCCAACTTGCCAGCCGCACAGTTGCCATCCCTCGCCCCCTCCCACCTCCAGCCCCAGCCCCACACACGCCGACCTGCCTAACTGACATTAAAATGCTTAATGTGCAGGCAGCTAAAAAAGAAGCAGAAGAAGAAAAACACGCGCTCTTAAAATTACAAAAAAAAAAAAAAAAAACGTAACAGAAATTGCTACGTTCATTTTCTTGCCCTGCTCCGTTCTACATTTTTTTGTCTTGCCTTCACGCTAGCTCGCAATTTGCCAGCTTCGTCTCTTTGGGGGGCGTTCTGGGTGCTGCTGATGCTCGCCTGCTCAGCTGCTCATCTGCTCAGCTGCTCATCTTAAAAATTGGCCAGGTGAAAAATTGCAGCTGTCGCTGTTAAGCTGTACGGCCCGTGGGCGTCTACATGGACATGGGCGTGGCAGGTCAGAGCGACATGGCTGAAGTGCAGTTGATTGTAGGCCTGCAGCAGTGCCGAGTGCGTCTCACCGAGCTCCATCCCGCCTCGCAGGGGCGGTCCATACTTTCGTGAGTCGCTAATTAGAAAACAGCCGCAAAGCAAGCGAAGCATGTTAAATGGAATGGTTAGTAAAAAAAAAGGAGAGGAATAATAAGTGCTTGGGCCAAAAGCAGGATAAAATTAGCATTGCATTAGCAGGGAGCTGCCTCTTCAGATCTGTATCTCTATCTCTGGAACACACAGAGCCGCCCTCGGGACATGCTTTGATTTTAGCCGGATTGACGGCAATCAGCTGTAAAATGTGACGTTCTGTGAAATATTGAAATTGACTTAGGGCCCGGGCGGCGACTGTTTGCCTGATTTCGATTGCATTTGGATTTGTGTTTGCGTCGTATTTGTTTTGGCCTCTAGTTGCGCCTCACTTGCGGCTATGTTTTTGAAGTTTTTATTCATACGTGCGGGCGGGCGGTTGGTCGGGGGGAGGGCCCGCCTGCCTGAAGTCATCGTTTTAGGGTTGCGTTACCACCGGAAAACTTGTGTTATTGTAAAGGGGAAAAAATGTGTGCTTGTCCTGCGGCATGGTTGCATTGATTTTGCTATTCCTCCTAAGCAAAGCCAAGCCAAGGCAATGCTATGCGTTGGCGTCAGGCAGCTGTAATTACGCGACTGGCGCCATCATCAACGTCATCATCATCATCATGGGCATCATCAGCATCTTCATTATCAGCAAGAAGTTCCGCCTAAGTAAACACATGATTTGACTAAAGGGCTACGAGTAGAGGAGCAGAGGGGCAGAGTGAGAAAGAGAGAGCGAGAGAGAGAGAGCGAGAGGCGAAGCTCGGGTAAACCGGGTCGTTTGTTTAAAAACGCATCTAAATTGCAAATTAAGCAACAAATTTCATCAACAATATTTGAATTTGAATTTAAATGCGACAACGAGTTGGGCAACGCGACTGAGAAGCGCGTAGAGAGGCACAGCACGCAAATAGATACACTCAAACACTCACACACACACACACACACGCACGCAGCTACATGAACCGAAAATGGAAAATTCGCCTTCGCCTTGCGTAAAGCCAGGCAACAATCTGAGTGGTAAATAAAGCAGCCGCCAGAACTTGAAGCGGGCTAGCAGGAGGCAAGCGGACAGGATGCTCGTGCACGGCTCTGCACTCTTATGGAAAGAGACAGATAGAGTGTGAGTGAGTGAGAGAGAGAGAGAGAGATGGAGTTGACTTGGCAACGTTCTGTTCGCTGCACTGATGTAAACACCAAAAATACAACAATGGCAACCATTTCAGTTTGCTTTAATCCTGCTCTCTCTCTTACTGCTGCGCCTGCCTGCCACGCCCCCTTGCTGTCCGCTCGTTGACTGGTTTTGTATATTTGCCTGTGTTGTTTGTCAAAAGAAGCAATTTACGTGCAAAATAACTCAAGTGTCATGCAAATTTCATTTATTTTCGCACAAGAAAAAATAATTCCCGCACCGCGATGAGGCCAGAGCAGAGCAACGTTGTCATAGAGCACACATACACACACACACACGCACACAGATATACATTTAAATATATATATGTAGTTATATGGTATTTTCTTACAAAATGTCTGCATAATGAAGTCAGTCATCGGAACAAAATCGTTGCACAAAGACTCAAAAGAAAAAAAAAAGAGAGAGAAAAAAAAAAAAATGAAACGAAACGAAAAATGAAAGAAAGAGAAAAAGAACTTTTAGGCGGCTTCTCGGTTGTCAAACAATTTGATGCTGTGATTTGTATATTTATTTTATTTTATTTTATTTCATTTTTGTTGTTGAGAAAATTAGAGCCGAGTGTGCTCCTGATTTCCCATTGAAGTGGCGCCAAGGAGAGCATATTATAATAATAATTTGTGCTCGCTATTTAATTTAATTCGAGTTTATTTTTAAGACGTGGCCAAAGGAAACTTGGGGCTCCTGCCACTTGAAGCTTAAATGAAGTTTGTTAAGTACTTTTCCACGGCAACAACAGCAACAACAACGATTGTTGTACAACAAACAACAAGGCAGCTCCTTAAGTACTTCAGGTTGGAAATTTCATTAGTTTGGTTCTCTCCCTCTCTCTCACACACACACACACGCAGGCGCTTGTTCATGACAAATGGAAAAAAATTGTGTGTGAGAAATAAAAGAAAATACTCGTATAGAAGCTTAAAAATTATTTAAGGCTTCAGATTTTTATTTGCCAAACTTGGTCAACTAACACACAAAGAGGCGTGGGAATTGACAGCAGCGCGCAAAAGTAAAAAATAAAAAGTAAAAACTTCCAACATCAACTTCAATTTAGAGCTTAAATTTCCATTCAAATTCAATTGTTGTTGGAATTATGTGCGTCTTACAAAGTGAAATTGAAGATCTTTATGTAAACTGAAGCCTGAACTTTGATTTCATTATCTCTTCAGCTATACATGGTACAGTATATATATAGATATCTAGGGATAGACACTTACCGGCATAGTTTGGCTTCCGTGCAAATTGGTTATTGCAGACTGAGCCTCCTGTTGGGAACCGAATTTGACGAAAGCGCAGCCTGAAAGTAAAGCAAACAATACAATTTAAGTAAGCATACACACATACACATGCATATGTACAACTCTTCTCGATACACGCTCGTTATCAAGAGCATTTCAGTTAAGTTCTGCTTCAGCCCCTTGACTTTGCAGACGCATGACAAGAATCGTGTGCAATGGCTGGCAGGCAGCTGGCGCATGTGTGCGTCGCATTTAAATAAAATTTTAAGTGCAATTAAAAAGCATTTTCTGCCACGAAATGCCAATATGGAGCAGCGTCAGACCAGGCACAGCAGCCATTATATAAAAATAATAGTCGGCCGGACGGTAAATGTTAAATTCAAACCAAAAAAAAAAAAAAAAATAAAAAAATAAAAAAATAAGAATGAAGAAGAATAAATAATAATAAAAAAAAAAAAACATCGCACTTGGCGCTCATTATTTTGTAATTTGTGCGCCAGCTGCTCGCAGTGTGGAGGCGTTGCTGCCGCTATTTGCTCAACCTGTTTGACAGCCTTAAACAATTAAACAAATTATGTTTCTGCATTTAAAAGTCAGCTTGCCCCATTTAAGGCAAGTTCGCACTTTGAGAGTCTAGCGGAAACCCTCAGGAATTAATCTAGGCCTTTGAGAGTTGATCTCCGCGTAGAGCTTAACCTTCACTCGGGCCTTAGCGCTTGGGGGAAATAACAACAGCAAAAGCAACAGAAGCAACAATAGCAACAATGGTAAAAATTAAGACCCCTCAACAGAAGGAAAACAACAACAGCAGAAGAGGAGGAGGAGCAGGAGGGGAATACCATTCACCCGCCCATCTATTTGTCAGGCAGTTGCGCTGCCTAAATTGCGACTCCGGCGGTTGCTGCCGCTGCCGTTGCCGTTGTCTTTGCCTTTGTAGTTGACGCCGGGGCATGTGGCATGTGGCATGTGGCATGCAGTGCGAGCGCGCAACAAATCCCGCCTAAAACCTTGCAACATGCGAGCTGACAAGCCGTAAGGCAGACAAGCGCAAATTTCGCGTGCAAACAGGAACAAGATTTTTATATTTTGTTTCTATTTTCCTTTTTTTTTTTTTTTGTGTTCCCTTCTGTGTTTTTTATCGTGTTGCAAATGTACAAAAAATACAGTGTAAAAAATTCAAGTGGATTTTTGTTTTGCTGCCACTTTTGCACTTGTTTCATTTTTATATGTATTTTGTGTGTGTGTGTGTGTGTGTGTGTTGAAGTGACAACAAAATCCTGCGCCCTACAGACAACAGTTGGACAATCCCACAGGCCGGCCATGAGAAGGGAGGGAGGGGCTGAGGCTGGGCGCGAATCAGCGCTGCTAAACAATAAAAATAAAAAAATATATATTTTGTTGCCTGTTAATCCAGCAACATTGCGACGCAGAAAAAGAGCTCAAAAGGGCGACGGAGGCGGGGCAGAAAAATGCTGAATGCCAGGCCGAGCACGAAAAAAAAAGAAGACAGCAAAAATATATAACAAAAGTGTAGCAGGCTACTAGCCTATGTATACTGTAGCTGGTTACTAGCCTATGTTATATTAGATTTAAGTTAACAGCATTATGGTTAACCATCGATAGATACACATCTATCGATAGTTAACCATATTGGTGGCTGAGGAGGCTGTCGATATGCAACATGCCATTTTGAGTAATAGAAAGAGGAGGATCGATACATTTTAAGTTTGAATGTGAACAATAGCAGACGTGTGTATATCAAGAAATTATGAAATAAAGAAATTAAATAAAAGGCCTACTACAATCTCAGAAGTGGGATAAAGTACACTAATTTTTCAAATTAAATAAAATGAAATTAAGCATAGACGAAGTATCTGTGGTGCAGTTAAAGAAGTGGCTAGCTGCATTGGGCTTGTCGACTCAAGGGTGCAAGACTGAACTTGTCGCTCGCCTCAATGGCGTGCCCGCAAATTTGCGCGGCAGCGCCCCCGAAGTGGAACAGGGAGAGGAGGAGTCAGATCAAACTGGAGTATCGCAGACAGTGCAAATGCAACAGGAGGAAATAGACAGGAATGAGAATATTTTGCGAGAGCTAAGTGAGCAGATCGACGCAGCAAAGAAGCAGCTAAAAAATTTTCACACACGACAATTGGACAGAGACGGCAATAGCAAGCGTGCCGAAATTAGCGCAAATGGCGTCGATGCAGAAGTTGAATTCGAAGAACGCGCGACTGACGCGCGCCAAAAGGGCGCCAGTGAAAATTGTGTAATAAATACAACGCACAATGATGAAGTGATGTCAATGATGTTTAAATTAGCTAAAGAAATTATGGTGGAATTCACTGGGGAGGAGTCTATTAGCAACTGGATAGCGCAATTGAATAATGTATCTCAATTATATCAACTAACGGACATGCAAAAAAGTTGCTATGCATGGCCAAATTAAAAGGGAAAGCCATGCAATGGATACATGATGATTCATCGAGGATTGTGCAACCGTTGGGCACATTATTGGATGGATTGGCAGCAGCATTCGGAAGCAAGATATCCAAGGCCGAAATGCGTCGCAAGTTTGGGGCACGTATATGGAGTGTCGATGAGAAGTTCACCCAGTATTATGAAGAGAAAATACGTTTAGCAAGGGAAATTCGTTTAGATGTAGACGAGCTACTGGATGGTCTCATTGAAGGAATCCCAAATGCAGTTTTACGCGCGCAGGCCAGGATACAGTGCTTTGAAGACCCCAGCAAATTGGTAAGGGCTTTTGCAGAGGTGCGTTTGCCACTGCATCGATCTACTGGAGGAAAAGGGACAACAGCAGTGGGACCAGGGCTCGATAATGCAATGAAGGAGACGCGTTGCTTCAATTGCAACTATAAGGGGCATTGGGCAAGAGATTGTCAGAAGCCCAAGAGGGAGAAGGGTACGTGCTACCACTGCGGCGCTAAGGATCATATGGTGGCACAATGCACGAAGAGGAAGGATGATATTGGAAACAATTTCGTAAGGTTAATCAGTATACATTTTAAGTCCAAAGATAATGCCTCCATTATTGCAGAATGCCTCATAGATTCAGGAAGTCCTATTTCGTTTATTAAAAAATCGTGTGTCCCAGTTGGAATAAAACTTAAAGCACACGCAGAAAATTACTTTTGGGCTAAATGAAAGCCAGTTAAATGTGATTGGAAAAACATTTGTTCATATTTTCAAGAAGTTTGAGAAAATAAATTTTTGGTTAATAGTTGTCCCTGATGAATCTATGAGGTCTGAAGTAATTTTAGGGAGAGATTTCATGGAAGCTTGCAATTTATATGTTGACCCAATCGCCTTGAGAATGATTTCAGTGGAAAGAGCAGCTGGCACGTTAGATAAATCGTTAGAAAATACATTGTTAGGAAACACATCGTTAGATAAATCGTTAGAAAATACATTGTTAGGGAAACACATCGTTAGATAAATCGTTAGAAAATACATTGTTAGGAAACACATCGTTAGATAAATCGTTAGAAAATACATTGTTAGGAAACACATCGTTAGATAAATCGTTAGAAAATACATTGTTAGGAAACACATCGTTAGATAAATCGTTAGAAAATACATTGTTAGGAAACACATCGTTAGATAAATCGTTAGAAAATACATTCTTAGGAAACACATCATTAGATAAATCGTTAGAAAATACATTCTTAGGAACCACATCATTAGATAAATCGTTAGAAAATACATTAGTAAATAAAGTGTTAGAAAATGAAGAATTAGGAAAGAAGTTAGTAAATAAAGTGTTAGAAAATGAAGAATTAGGAAAGAAGTTAGTAAATAAAGTGTTAGAAAATGAAGAATTAGGAAAGAAGTTAGTAAGTAAAGTGTTAGAAAATGAAGAATTAGGAAAGAAGTTAGTAAGTAAAGTGTTAGAAAATGAAGAATTAGGAGAGAAGTTAGTAAGTAAATTGTTAGAAAATAAAGAATTAGGAAGGAAGTTAGTAAATAAAGTGTTAGGAAACAAAGACTTAGAAGAGAAATTGTTAGACAAATGGTCAAATAATAAAGAATTAGAAGAAAAATTATTAGACAAAGAAGAGATCGATAGGTCAAAAGAGTGTTTAGAAAAGTCAATGGAAATAAATAGCAAAAGCGTTTTTGACGATAATTTTGAAAACAGCATGCTTCAAATTAATGTGGTAGACGGAGACAATGAAAAAGAGATATATATTATCGGTGAAAATATTAGTTATGATGTGCGGAAAAAACTAATTAGATTGCTGAAAGTGGAATATGTAGATGCTGAAAGGCCAGTAAAACCTAAAAAGAAATGCGAAATGAATATACGAATTGAGAAAGCAAAACCGTTTAGCTGTTCACCAAGAAGGTTATCATACACTGAAAAGGAAAAATTACAGATAATGTTAGACGAATACCTTAGAAATGGCATCATACAACCTAGTTGCTCAGAGTATGCTTCACCAATAGTATTAGTAAAGAAAAAAACAGGAGATTTAAGAATGTGCGTTGATTTTAGAAAACTCAACAAGATCATGATCAAAGACAATTATCCTTTGCCGTTGATTGATGATTTGTTAGACAGACTAGTGGGGAAGTCTATTTTCACGAAGCTTGACCTGAAGAATGGATATTTTCATGTTTTTGTAGAGAAAGAGTCAGTAAAATACACATCGTTTGTTACGCCGTTAGGACAGTTTGAGTTCTTGAGAATGCCTATGGGATTAAAAACAGCTCCGCAAATTTTTCAGAGGTTCGTTAATGATATATTTGCAGATTTAATAAAGGAAAGCAAGGTAATTGTATATATGGATGATATAATGATTGCCAGCAAAGATGTGTCCGAGCATCTTAAGATACTAGAAGAGGTTTTAAAACGATTAGTAGAGAACAAATTAGAGTTGAGGCTGGATAAATGTGAATTTTTGCAGAACAAGGTTAAATATTTAGGATTTGTAATATCAGAAGATGGCATTAGAGCAGATGATAAGGGATTAGAAGCGGTAAAGAATTTCCCAATACCTAATAAAGTTCAGGCGGTGCAAAGTTTTCTCGGGTTGTG